GTCAGATTAGGTAAAATTCAAGGTTTTCAGATATTTGAATATATTTTGAGTATTTATTTATGGTTTGAAGTATTTTTCAAATATTTTTCGGGTTTATTGGTATTTTGAGTCCTAACTATCCAAGCCTACCCGCTACATATCTGGAAATTAGAAATTACCACACTGGAAATACATAGAAATTAGATTATTCATGAAAATACTGAAATTATAAGTTACAATCTTTCACGAGTCTAGATATCTTTTTAAACAAATTTAATGTTTTAAAATAGTTTCTCTAGAATAGTAAATCATTAATTTTATAACTTGTTTGTATAAATATCCCCAAACATTAGAATACTATGATAATAAACCGGTTATTGTATTATTACAATATACTATGTTATAGATAGGTTTACTCTAAAAATAATAATATGTTTGGTTTTAAACATATTTATCGTGAATGGAGATGTTCAATATATTTTATACTCTCTATTTATCAAACATCAGCTATGAAAATTAATCAATGGAAATGATAGAGGCTACTGTTGCACAGTTGGTGGCTCAAGCAAATGATATATTTTTTGTTTAATGTGTGAAATCAGTCACGTATTATGAAATTATATGGTATAAGGTTATAATAATGTATTGTGGAGAAATAAAAATATTGACCGATAAGAGTAATGTATAATAAATAAGAATATTGACTAATTTATTGTTAGAGAAATATAAGGTAAGTTATNAGTAATGTATAATAAATAAGAATATTGACTAATTTATTGTTAGAGAAATATAAGGTAAGTTATATGATATAATGTTATTGTACAATATTGTTAGAGAAATATAAGGAAAGATAAAAAAAATGTTAGTATAATGAAAGGGTCCAAACAACTTTTTTAAGTAGATTTATTTAGACTCCTTCTCTTTTAATAGTATAGATATATACAAAATTAGCTATTTTTTTTCTTTTCAGCTGCGGTCTTAAGTAAATATGTGAATCTCAGGACCGGCTCTGCATAAGATCATAGATCTACTCTAAGTCAAAATTGTGATGTCCATGAAAAGTTGTGACTAATATTTTTACTTCCTTTTGTACAATCATGTATGTTTAGTCAGACGGAAATCTTTATAAAGATATAAAGAAGATAAAATTATCAGTTATAGAATCAATAGGTAATGATTTTTAAAATAGTACTAAATCAATGTTAATATAATACCTAAAGGAAGTTTCTTATGAACTTCCACAAAAGGCAGTAGTTTAGTTGTTAAAAATTTTGGTCAAGCCTCCCAACTAGATCTCGGATCCATTTAAAGCACACTAGAGAGGTGATCAATGTGAACCATCTATTCCATCATCAGAACATAGAGTAGAGTAGTTACTGTCTCACCATCTCGTGTCTATCTTTCTATGTACAGTGTCTTAAAATGCAAGCTTCAAGAATGATGATGAGTTTTAATCTTAAAACTCTCCCTAGCGCTCGCAAAGTCCCTCTCTGTCATAAGGACATGTTTTCTTTATTACCTGGACATTTGCTTAGAAACCAAACGCTTTCTCGACAACCCACAAAACAAGATCCGTTTTCTGTAATGGCTACTAGTGGTGATCTTGAGAGTACTCGTCCCTTGGCTCAGTTTACACCCACTTTTCTAGGAGATCACCTTTTCTCTGTTCCCGTCGATGGTTCTGTAAGTACATATTCAATTATGACATCATGTGATACTATATATGGTAGCAAAAGATACATGACATTTGGTCTAAAAAAAAACATGACATCTGATATACTAACTATGTTTAACATGCATTTCTTACTATCATATATACCTTTGCAGGAGTTTGATGCAATTGAGCATGAGATTGAATCGGTTATGAAGCCGTATGTTCGAGATATGCTCATGTCTACTCACACCTGTGACAAGGAGAAGATTCATCTCATTCACTTGCTTATCAGTCTAGCCATCTCCCACTATTTCGAAAACGAAATCGAAGAGATAATAAACAAAGCTTTTGGGAGGTTAGAAGTCTTGATTGCCAAGGAAGATGATCTAAAAACAATCTCTACTATGTTTGAGGTTTTCAGATTGTATGGTCACAAAATGTCTTGTGGTAAAACCATCTCCAACTCATCTCTATATTTTTCTATAAAATATAGAAACTCTATCATAAAATAAGTGTTTTATAATCTAATTTATCTACAGTAGAACCTCTATAAATTAATACTCGATAAATTAATATACACTAAATATCTCTATAAATTAATATAATTTTATAGTCCCAAATTGAGTTTTTAGTTCACTTAGTATATCTATAAATTAATATCTCTCTAAATTAATAAAAAAATAAAATTTTGGTGTATTCCCAACATTATTAATTTATAAAGATTTCACTATATATGTCTTTAAAAAAAAATATAATTGACAGATGTATACATTGAAGCAAATTTATTTATATATTCAAATTTTATTATTTTAGAGAAAAACATATAAAATAAAATTTAAAGGTGGATTTGAAATGTTTTAAGAACCAACTAGATATGGGTTATTATTATAACAAACGAGTTATGAGTCTTCCATTCATAATCTCCTTGAGCTAGAAATCAAAGCAGAGTTTTCAATTTTCTTGATTTACTTGTATGGATACTTATTTTAGCTATTTACATATGTTTCATTATAGATGTGTTCGAAAAATTCAGAGGGGGACATGATGGAAAGTTCAAGGAAAGTGTAGCTCGAGATGTTAGAGGGATGTTACAGTTGTACCAAGCATCATACCTCAAATCAAAAGATGAGGATATAATGGAAGAAGCAAGAAGTTTCACTAGGACTCACTTGGCTGCACTGAGTTCTACTACTCAACCACATCTCTCTAAGCATATACAAAACGCATTGTACATACCAAGATATCACTGCATAGAAATAGTAGTTGCAAGAGAATATATCTCTTTTTACGAACAAGAAGAAGATCACGAGGAGAATCTTCTCAAGTTTGCGAAACTCAACTTCAGCTACTGCCAGTTGCATTACATCAAAGAGCTCAAATATGTCACAAAGTAACATCGTTATAGCTTATTATCTCAAATATTATATGTATATATCCAATCTTGTTATATGTGATTACTGATTATTGTAGATGGTGGAAAGAGCTAGATCTTGCGTCTAAACTACCTAATACCTTTCGAGATAGAAACGTGGAGATCTATTTTGGCATGATGGGTATATATTTCGAACCACGATACTCCCTTGCGAGAGTTATAGGCACTAAAATCTCCATGATCATGACGGTTGTTGATGATACATATGACGCCTATGGCACGCTTCCTGAAGTTATACGTTTCACTGATGCCTTGCAAAGGTAAAATCTTTCTAATGTTATATTTGGGACTTGGGAGTCATATGGTCTTATATAGAGTTAATGGCTAGGTGGGATATTGGAACCATTGAAGATCTACCAAATTATATGCAAATTATTTTCCGAACATTGTGGAAAGTTATGCAAGATATCGAACGAGAAATGAGCTCGCTTGGAAGACCTGGTGGTGTGCAACCGACTATAGATGAGGTACGTAGCTATTATTAGAGCATCTTTAATAGCATACTATTTTTTCCTCTATAATTTACATTAAAATAGAGTAATTATTATAGAGTAAACCATTGGAACAGATGTTCTTAGTTTGACCGGTTGTGTCTCAAATTTTAAAGAACTATTATGGTTAGAAAAAATCAATCTAAAAATGTTTGTGCACATGGCTTCTTAAATCTCGGATCTGACTCTGATTATTAGAGAAAACAACAAATAAGTGTAATAGTAAATATTATATGTTCATATTGAAAAAAAACAAATATAGATAAAGAGATTGGCAAAGCAAGGGCACCTAGAGATAGCAAAATGGGCACGCTCAGGTCACGTGCCAAGCTTTGAGGACTACATGGAGGTTGGAATCGTCACAGGCGCAGTGGATGATATGGCAGTCTACAGCTTTCTAGGGATGGAAGATTGTGATGAGAAGATAATGTACGAGTGGTTTGCTTCTAGACCTAAAGTCATTCTAGCTCTCAATGTGGTGCTTCGTCTGGTTAACGACATAACCACATTTGAGGAAGAGTTGGAGAGAGGAGAGGTTGCAAATGGAGTCAACTGTTACATGAAGCAACATGGTGTCAGCCAAGAAGAGGCGGTTATAGAATTGAAGAAGATAATTAAAGATCACCATGAGATGATGATGGAGGAGTTCTTTAAAGCTTTATCTACTGTGCCACGCCAGATTGTAATGCGAGTCTTCAATATTGCACGTGTGATCAATTTGTTCTACAAGGAAGGTGATGGGTTTGGTCATCCAGATGAAAATCTCAAAGCTCACTTTACCTCTTTGTTTTTATAAATTTCGTATTGTGATAATCTCTTCTTTTTTTTTTTTGTAAAAGGGCATGTGTAATCTATGTGTTTCAAGTTGTTGTCTGAGTTTTTATTTTTTTTAATATTTAGTGAATGATTTAGGCCTACGGGGTATGCTTTTAACGTCTCCTAACATCAACTTGTAGTCATTGGCCAAAACATTGTCAATCTAAAGTAAGTTGGAGAGTTTCATCAAACACTTTTTACATGCTTAAATCTGAAACTAATATGATCAAACAACTGATAACATAAAAGGTTTCTCTATATAATATTGGAAATTCCTATTTGTCCGAAGATCCAATTTGGATACTATTCACACATTTGTGAAGTAAATCAGAAAAAAAAAATTTCATAACTAGACTAAGATAAATAAATCTTCTCTATCAAAGAGGTGATCTGCTTAATCCAACTTTTTATAAAGATATTTTTTCTTCTTATCTTAGATAAAATACATTTTATACTTTAAAATGCTAAAATGACCCGGTGTGCATAGACCACCATTAACATTGGTGTAGAATAAACAATTATATATTTATTTAACAATTCAAAGAGTAGAGAACCACATGAATCTTACCTTACCATTGAGAGTACCTATCATTACCGCCTTCCATCATTCGTTGCTTTTCCATTTTTGTTCTTATCTCAAAAGGAGATCTTGATGTGTTGTCTCTAGCCAATTAAAACTACTAATTAGAAAGCCTTTGGTTATAAAAAAAATTTCACTAATTGTGTGTATATTACCGACAGTTCATTTTTTTCTTCAATTTGAATAAACCAAATATGTCCATAAAAAAAGTTGTAATAAGTTAAGGAAGACATGTAAACATAAGTCATACTTGGGTTAATTAAATCAGGTTTTCTCCTATGGAGCTGTCGTGATTGGCATCATAGAGTTTCATCAAATGACGGGTCCCTCTTTCTAATGCTTTTCCCGTTTAACTCTCCGCATCAACTACGAATAAATAACTAGTTCAGGTCGTAATACAAGAAAATGACAACATAAAAAAGCACATTCATTGACTAATAAAGAAAAATAAATAGGTGATTCCAAAACTTAGTGCTAAATTTTGTTTTTCTTTTTGCGTTTTTTCCTGTAAAACTGGTAAAAGTGATATCTTTCATGCGCATGGTTCCCAAACATTATCTAGTAATACCAATTATCGAAAGAAAAAATGATTGTGACCACTGACAGCACAACAGAAATAAGTGGTCTTAACTTAAGTCATTAAATCGTTGCTCTTAACTTAAAGACTAGGGTAGGTACGGATCGGATATTCGGGTTTTTAAGGTATTTGTGATTTGTTTCGAATGTTACAGATATCTAATTTTGGTATTTGTTTTGATTCGAAAAATACGGATATCCTGAAAAACGGATATCTGAAAAATAAATAGATATTTGTGGATATTTACGAATATTTACAGATATCTCATGCATTTTGATTAATACAAATAATCTTAAGATTTTGATACAAACTTACTTTGCAAAAAAAATTTACATGATATATAAAATAAAAATTAAAAAAACTAGTGAATATACATATTTTGTAATTTTTTGAAGTTTAAATTACAATTATAATAACACAAAATTTTAGTAACATGAATAATTTATTTCTTGGATAAAAATGTTGTAAAGCTTATAAAGATAAAAAAATAATTATATATTTTTAACTCAATTATATAATTATATAAGTAGTTATATACAAGTATAATTTGTTATATACATATATAATATATATGGATATTTGACTGAAGCGGATATTTTGTTTTTAAATTAATATTTATGATTTACTGAATTTTTAGTAGATGCTAAATATTAATATTTGTTTTGATTCATAAAATTAATCAAATTATTTCAATCAACTTAAAAGCAATAACGGATAAAATAAACTTTAAAGTTGTTTTGTCCAACCTTGGTTGAGCTACATAACCCAGAAAAGAATGGCTGAACTCTCGATTACCTCAACTTGTGCGTAAAACATTTTTTCTTATATTTTAATTTTATGTTAATCTAATTAATTCATTGATAAATGAATCATGAACCAAACATATTACACTCCATATTTAATTAGATGTATTTTTTTCCTAAAAAAAAATATTTTAATTAGATGTACGATGATACGATGAATAGTCCAATAGGCTAACTAAACTGGCTGTTGTTTTGTAACTCAAAACTTCTTTTTCTTTTTTGAAAAAGGGCATTTGTAACTCAAACTTTTATTCACGATATTTGCTACTCTTCATTAATAGGCACTAGAAATGGTGGTATAACATTTACATAGTTACTTCAAATACTTGCTACTTCATTATTTTTCCTATCAACACAACACTAGTAAAGTGACGATATCAGCCAATGATATAAGTATACGATTTGAGCGTACATATATCTTTTTTTTTTTGTAAATGGCGTACATATATCTTTCTCATTTCAATTCTCAATACACAAAGAATTTAAGTGTATGTGGGCTAAACAGTTTGGATTAATGCTAAGTTGAAGTTTGAGTTAAAAAAAAAAGTGTAACTACAAAAACTACAATCCTAGTGAAATACCGATATATTTGCAACTAATAAACGTTATATATTATGAGTCCTAGTTTTACGTTCGGATTCAGAATCAGTAGTGGCTTTGAGAACGAAACTATACTATTTGACGTGAAGAAGTGTTTAATCGATATAAAGGTAAAACAAAAAGAAGATCAACTTCCAGTGATGTGGTGACTAATACAGCAAAAAGTACACTCGTATTAAGATTCTCGACCGTAGTAAAACAATAGTAATTAAAAAAAACAAAAAAAAAACAATAGTAATAGCATGAAGGAACAAATAACTTGCCGAAAATGCTACAGACACAAAACTGAGGTAGTGAGTGGATGACAGGCAAATGAATCCCCAAACAGCAACACGTCCATAAGAAACGTCACTTATTCAATTAACAAAAACGAGCAATGTGAAAGAATTTGTTTTCAGAAAATATAGTTAAGAATATGATTTAATAACAGCATAAAAATTTTACAAATCCAAGAAGAGTTAGGACTGTGAGCAGGGAGTTTTAGTTTGCGAGATAAACTTAAATTGAAATGTCGAAGACATTATGTCCGAAGAGATAGAATGTTGAACGCCTCAGCTATTTTTCCTTTTGCTTTTACGTATATATAATAGATGGATGCATAGAAGAGCCAAAATAATAACATTCTCAAAGAAATTTTAGTTTGAGGCTTAGGGTTTGCATTGTTCATAAAGATCTGCCAACTGCTTATTAAGGAACCTATGCGATTAAAAGGTATACAATTGAAGACATATCAGCAAAGTCGATGCTTGTATCAAATGATTTTGTCCCAAAGGACATTAAGATAACTATAAGGAAGTAGCAACCAAGACTAACGCCAGTGGAGAACATTTGGTACCAACGGTGTGTCTGGTTAGTGCTCTAGTACTTTGAGTTAGTTCTATCGTACTCCTAGTTTGATTCTTGTTGGGAGAGATGTTTTATGCCATGTTATCGGTAGTAGTGTCACTGGTCCTAAGTCTCTCTAGGCTGGCCCAAACTCCCCCTGGGTTACAAACAAAAAGAAGTTGGTGGACAATGTCTTAGGGATATAATTTGGTTGACGAGAAAGGACTCCCCTATGTTACGATATCTAAACTGGTCCTTACTAAATCGTAGGCGTGTGTTAAAAAAAATGAGAATATGGTGTGATCTTACAAAAAGTACTGTTACAAAAAAAGTTGAATAGTGAATTATAGCCAAGGAATCAAGAAACCCTTAGAACATGAGCATCAAAGTCTCACAACAAGAGTTCACACACATCCCAAGGAAAAAAAAAATATTATAATAATCAAAACAAGTGAACTCGTCTCGCTCCGCTCCTTTCTGGTGAACCCGTATTATAACTGTTTAGCGGGTCCCACGCCACGTGGCGGCCCGCTATTAGCCCACTTTAATTTTTATTTTTTTTTAAGTAAAATCAAATGAAAAAAAAATAATAATAAAAAAATAAAATTATGAACCCCGATGTGGGTTTGCTGATGCTCATGCTCTTACGTCTTGGCCTCATCTAGCCCAATGCTAGATATGAAACAACGTGTGTCCAAGAAATTGCGATGATAGATGAAACTTTAGTTAGATACGTAGACAGTAAACTAACCTATAAATTCGTGTGATAAAGAATCATACTACGAATATTATGTAAAGTTACATTGTAGTGTGCTTTCTGATCAAAATTTAACGGAAAAGAAACCTAGTATATTCATAACTAAAATCACAAATTTAACACTCAGATAACGATCATCGTCGAGGTGGGATTCAACTGGTGATGTCTACTTTGAAAACCCCAAAAGCCATAAATATAATCAATTTTAAAAAAAAAAAAAAAACGAAGAGGCATAAAGAGAATAAAGTAAATAGGGTGTTACTTGGTTGTTTACGAAATGAAATTATAGAAGAAATGAGACTATGTGTGGTAAGAGACGAACAATAATAGAACAACAACAAACGTGGCAAACAAATAGGACCTACGACGAATATAACATGTGATGTTACAGTATCCTTCAATTCTCGATGACCATCAACAATAATGTATTGAAGTTCCAAAAAGATAAAAAAAACAATAATGTTATTGTTGTTACAAAAAAACAAAATCAATAATGTCTATTGCTTTCTTCCTTCAATAATTCCACAGTAGTAAAAAATTTTTTTAAAAAAATTACAGTAGTACGCATGACACAATTGGTCTAGGCCTAGGCATCCGGATCTTCAAGTCGGATTCGAGTCAGATCTTGTCGGGTCCGGATCCTTCGGATCTTGAAAATTTAAACCCATACAGATATCTATAATTTTTTGCGTCGATTCCGGGTCGGGTCTTGTCGGACCCGGGTCGATTCGGATCTATAATTTCAATACTCGTAAAATATCCATAATTTTTGGGTATATTCGAGATCCGGGTCGGTTTGGATATTTAAGACCCGAAAAGGATTTGAATACCCAAAATGGACCCAAAAACCCAAAAATTACTTGAAAAACTGCCAAAGTACCTAAAATTTGTAAAAAACAGACCCAAAAACCCAAAAGATACACGAAATTTTATCTAAATACCCAAATTATATTTTAGGAAAATCTAAAATTTGACCTGAAACCTAAAACTAGAACCGAAAACCCAAACCCGGAAATTTTAAAAATACCCAAAATATCAAAAATATACACAAACACCTAAATATAACTTATATATGCAATAATTTGCGGATACCACGGATACTCGAACGGGTCACGAGTAGGACCCGGACCCAATCCGAGACCCATGGGTCCAAATAAAAAGGACCCAACATGTACTTTAGCATGGATCTGGACTTGGATCCAAACCTGTATTTTCGAGTCAGTTTCGAGTCTTCGGATCCGAGTAAAATTCACATGCCTAAACTGGTATTTTGGCATTTGCGTTCATAAAAGTAGATGCAATTAATTTTAAATGCTCGAGATATGTAATTATTATTATATTAAATGTAAACCCAAATATTTAAACATACAAATGCAAATATCTTATATATTAAAACAGAAGTCATGACTTGACTTCAAGTGTGATTTTCTAAAAATAGACTATTACTAGAAAATCATATTACATTAACTCTCTAATAATCTTATCATTATTATAGCTTATACAAAATCATATCTATAATAACAAAGATATACTTAACAATTTGGTTTTGGTAAATTACCCCACACTTTCCAACTTAGTCACGCAAAATATGTCAACAGATATAAATTTAGGAATCTTCTATTATTTATAAAGAAATATGTCAATAATAGTTAAATGCATCACAATATATTAACAAAAATCACAGATTCGTAATATAGAATATTTATATACCCTAAAAAAATTTATACGCTGTACATACTAGATAAATTTATTTCGATGTAAATTTTTAAAATTATATTGTTTTAAAAAAATAAATTGTTTAAAAAAATTTTTTTTTAAGAAAATTCTTTATAATATTAATTTATGAAGCTATAAGTTTAGTTTTAGCAAAAAAAAATTCAACGTTTATATTATCTTTTCAAATTAAAGTATACTAATATTTAATTAAGCTCTATTTATATTACTTTATCTAAAAATGAAATACTAATCTAACAAACAATAAAATATAGAATAAGAAACAAACACATGTTTGAAAAACATATATAATATAGAAAATTTCAAACAATCTATTTGATTAAAACACGTATTATATAATATTATTATGTTTGAAAAACATTTACTATAAATATCGTAAATATATGATTACTATAATATATATACCAATTTACAAGTGAAAACAAAATGTTTATATAACTAATTATAAACGAAAATAAACACTCGCGCGATTGCGCGGGTCAAAATCTAGTTTTTCTTGTTAAAATAGTTACGAGCGAGGTAAGATTAATTAGACCACTTTTCTTTTGGTAAAAATGTTAAGATAGCTTAAGACAACTTGATCTCTTTAAATAATCAATAATCTACTTACCAAAATATCTACTATAACATCCTGACTCATGAGCATGTACGTGTATATATATAGAGGGTTATGGCTCATGAGTTAACAACCATCACAATTCACGCCTCTTAAGTTCTCCTTCATGAGCTTCTTTATTCTGATCCCAGTGTTAAACTATTGCAAATACATATAGAAAGCAAATTTTTTGGAGTCCACGAGAGAAAAAAAAACATGAAAACACCTAAGAGCTCTTTGGGTAAGATCCAAGAGCGTTTCTCGATTAGTTTCATATACAAATGCATCAGAGTCCTCATCAACAGATCTATTTCTTTCTTATCTTGTTAGAAGAAAAGAATCAAATCAAATTTTACTTTCCTCAAGTATATTTTTCTCTACATTTTTATTTCCTTGGGTATTGTGTAAGAGGTTATATGAAATTTTACCATTAGTGTTCATATATATTGAAAAAAATGTCAAGAAAGCCATGTTGTGTCGGAGAAGGGCTGAAGAAAGGGGCATGGACCACTGAGGAAGATAAGAAACTCATTTCTTACATCCATGATCATGGAGAAGGAGGATGGCGCGACATTCCCCAAAAAGCTGGTTAATATATATTAAGACCTAAACAAGTTTGTTAAATATTAATTTGATGACTTGATGTATGAAAATCTTATGATGAATATTGTCTTTAACTAGGGTTGAAAAGATGTGGAAAGAGTTGTAGACTGAGATGGACTAACTACCTTAAACCTGAGATCAAAAGAGGCGAGTTTAGTTCAGAGGAGGAACAGATTATCATCATGCTTCATGCTTCTCGTGGAAACAAGTAAGTTTATGTGTGTATGGGTCCTCCAATGATCATCATTCTGGTTTTGTTTCTTCCATGAAAAAGTTTCTTAAAATATAGTCCATCCATTTCTTAATAGATGAAGTTTTAGAAGATGTTTATTATTTCAAATAGATGATATTTTGATATTTTTTGTTATGTTTATTTTTTTTTTCTATAATCGATTGAATGATTTTTAAATTATATTTTTAGAAAAAAACAATCTTCATCGTTGAAAAAAAATAAATTATACTTAAATTTTATCAAGGTAAAACATCATGTACTGTAAAACGGAGGGAGTAATAATTTTACTATCGGTCTTTAGGCCATATTAACATGATGTTTTACAGAAGCTACTGTAAAACATCATGTTCCATCTTATATTATCTCATTTGTTCATGTCTTTAGGTGGTCGGTCATAGCGAGACATTTACCAAGAAGAACAGACAACGAGATCAAGAACTATTGGAACACACATCTCAAAAAAAAATTGATCGACCAAGGTATTGATCCCTTGACTCACAAGCCACTAGCTCCTAACACCAACCCTACTGTCACCACGTCTCCTGAGAATTTTCATTCCCTAGATGCACCTAGTTCCGACAAGCAATACTCCAGGTCAAGCTCAATGCCTTCCCTGTCTCGTCCTCCTTCCTCCAGTTTCAACACGCTTTCCAGCAATGATGGGACACCAGTTCAGGAGGACGGTTCCTTGAGTTGCAAGAAACGTTTTAAGAAATCGAATTCTACATCAAGGCTTTTGAACAAAGTTGCGGCTAAGGCCACTTCCATGAAAGAAGCTTTGTCTGCTTCCATGGAAGGTACCTTGAGTGCTAATACAAGCTTTCCTTGTGGCTTCTCTGAGCAGATTCGCAATGAAGAGGATAGTTCTAATATAAATACTCTCGCCGAGTTTGATACCTTCCTCCAATCATCCTTATACCCTGAGCATGAGATGAATACTACTTCTGATCTTAGTATAGATCAGGATTATGATTTCTCACATTTTCTTGAAAATTTCGGGAGAGATGATGACCACAATGAGGAGCACAACATGAGTGTTGAGTATGGTCATGATCTTCTTATGTCCGATGTGTCCCAAGAAGTCTCATCAACTAGCGTTGACGATCAAGACAATACTATTGAGGGTTGGTCAAATTATCTTCTTGACCATGCTGATTTTATACATGACATGGATTCTGATTCCCTCGGAAAGCATCTCATATGAATCCTCATGCCCCAAGCAGAAAGGTTTCAAACTATTGAAACTTGTCGGAACAAGAAGTTATGTAACATATGTATGTATGTTATTACATAGATTGTTTAGTATATGTCCAAGATCATGGTTGTTAGTCCCAAGTTTAGGGTTTGTATGATGTACAATAAGGGTGTTGTCAACTTAAAAAGTTAGGGTTTCTCTGATGATATTGAGAATCATGCATGGTGTAACCTTGCGGACCAATTGATAATTGATTCGCCAGGGCCATGATGTTTAATTTTATAATAAATCTTTGTTTTATATCGTATGTTATTTCACAATAGCAATGATTATAATCTTCTTTTTTTTCGTTAAAAGCTTAAGTCCATTATAATCATCAATCATGCTTTCTTTTTTCATCATGCATGCTCTTCTTTATGATTCAACCATATAATGTTTCTAACTTTATATGACATGAAGGTGGTGGTATCTTTCACTGGATTTGAACCGACCACAACAATCTTTCTTTCCAATATTATTGTAGAATAAAGGTATAATAAATTTTCAAAAATAATGATTTAGAAAATTCCAACGAAGAAGACGACGTTCCAATTAAAGTGTCTGTGTGGTCCATAAACAATTTAGATAAGAGCTAAAGATCAAGAGGTGAAACAGATAACTAGAACTGTAACCCGACAACTTTTGTCTGAAAACAAAGTCGAATCTTGATAATCATGGCAAAAGATGTATTATAATATAAAGTAATATCAAAGTATTTATGTGCCAAAAATGGAAGGCTGCCATTACAGCACAATCATCCTATTGGTTATTGATTCTTCGATTTATTAATATTTATAAACTTTTCATGATTTCAGTATTACATTTATTTTAGATTATATCTTATGTAAATGGCTTAATTAACTCTTAGAAACACGTTTTGATATATTAATTCTCTTACTAATTCCCAATAAAGAAAAAGGCGATATTATTTTCTTAACGTTTTTTTTTTGTGTGACAAATAATTCTGTGAAGCCTCACTCACTTTTTGTAAAATGGCTTTTTGACCCACTCATCCCTCAATAATTTATTTTAGTGATGAATAGTAAAAATGCCTCTATGATCTTACAAAGAGGCACAAAGCAATGCAATTTGCAAGAACAAATCATCACGCATTCGACCCCATTCGTGCCATGTGTCTTTTGCAATCGCCTCGTTTTATGTTTTCTACACTTTCTTATCCCACTCTTTATATATGAGACTTCCACCATCGTCCAATACTGAGTGGTTAGTATTCTTAATTTCTTTTGTTCAAATTATTTATTTAATATGACTTTTTAACAAACTATCTATTTTACCAAGATATAACCAAAAATATCAGAAATATTATATTTTATCTAAAAATACTCAAGCATACCAAAATAAATAACATGTTTATTTTTTTAATTTTAATTTTAAATTATAAAATAATTAAATATAAGTATAATTATAAATAATATTTTTCAGATACATATTTACATTTCGAATATTTCAGATACTCATTCGGTTCTCTGTTCAGATCAGGTTCGGTACCGGTTCTTCGGATATAGCAATTTAGGAACCATTCGGTTATTTATCTCGGATCCGATTGGGTTTGGGACCCTGATTTTCGAGTCGGTTCTTTGATATTTTGCGCAACCCTAAATTAGTCAATAAACTATGTAATAATCTATAAATAAATAATGCTAATTAACCATCAAAATAGTTGTATTATAATTGTTTACAACTTTATTGGCTAATTTCATATGTCGCGCACATCAAGCCTTTACATTTAAGATTTTGCCTTAGTTGTCTTGCAAAAATAAAGAGGGCAAAAGCTAGCTTTTAGTAATGCAATACTCATAACAAAAACAAACAAAATTAGAACAGCTAAAGCCAAACCAGTGTTTAGTTGACTAATTAATTAATATAGTTTTCTTCACCTTAAAGCACGTTTATGCTACTTTCGTGGGAGTGCGTCTTTTTGTGTGGGTTATCTTTTTCGATCACACTATGTTTGTTGGTTGATAACCAGTACCATGAACAACATATGGTTAAATACTTAAATGGTGGCTAGGAGAATCGGCGACTCCAACAATTGTGAGTGTAGATCCATTAGCTAATAAGGAAGCATTTTAAGAGCATTGTTAGTAACAATATTCTTTTATGCTTTACTCTCTAACCAATTACATCCATATACGTTAATCGTTGGAACTTGGAAGAAACAACAATTCAGATATTAGACGAGCGACAATGGGCTATACAAAACTAGTTACCCACAGTGCTTATATGGGATCTATACTATAAAGTCTGAAAACGAATTCAAAAGAGCCGTTTGATAAATTCAACCCGGTTAATAAATGGTAACTACTTTGTAAATGTAAATTCGATACTAATCACTTTCACGAGGTTATATGAATCAATTAAACAACGCAGTAGTTACAAATACTCTTGGGAAAGTATCATTTCTCTTTGACCAACTGTTTGAATCCGCTATATATCTCTATAAATAGCCAATGTCCAAGTCACTACCTTACACAGACTCAAATCTCTAAACTCTTTGAATAAAACAACATTTGAAATATGAGTGGAAAAAGCAACAGCAACGGTGGAGGAAAGAGCGGAGGTGGTGGAGGAACGAACGGAGGCGGTGGAGGAAAGAGCAGTGGCGGTGGAGGAGGAGGTTATATGGTAGCACCGGGGTCCAAAGGCGGTGCTCACATCTCACGAGGTGGATTTGAGAGTAACCCTCAAGGCTACTTTAGTAACTTGCATGGTAGTGGACAGAGCAAGAAGTGACTTGGTCTCTGTGTTTTACTACAAGCATGAGTAATCCATCTTCTCTAATTAAATAAAAATGCAATGAAGTTTAATTAAGTACTGAATAAAATGAGATAATTATCTTTATAAATTGTGTTATTGCTTAGTACAACTCTTCTGATCAATCTCGCACTCTTCATGAAATGTGTAATTAGATAAAATGTAAAAATGGTCATCAAGATAACAAGCCTTAATACAGTTTAAACACCAGTAAGCAACAATCAGACTTAGTTTGATTCATATAACAGTAGTCTAGACTGCACTAAATGTTATTAAAAAAAAAAGATATAAACATAAACGTTACAATGTCATAGAATCAAACATTTCCTCCAGCAAACACTAATTACAGAGCCAAAGGCGGAACCAAAAAAATCTCAAAATTCTCTGAGATAACAGAGATCTACGTGCAGATTAGCTGATAGTTCCTAAATAATTAGAGTTGGTCAAGAAACCAGCTGATCTTAGATATCCATTCTCTTGATAAAGCATAGCTAGGAACTGATTCACCACAAGGTTTGGCAAGACTCCAGTTTTGATCATGTCACAATGCAACATCATTGCGTCAATAACACGCTTTTCTTGAAGATGACCTTTTAACATAATAACATAACTCGGTATATCCGGAGTTATCCCACCAGATCTCATGTCTGAGAACAACCTCGTAGCTCTTAGAACGTAACCGTTCTGACACAACCCTTGAATCAAACAAGTGAACCCCACATGATTCCAGGCTTTATCGGTCGCAGCCTGATTGTTTTCAAGATAAAAATCAACGGCATCAGAGACTCTCCCTTCTTTCCAGAAACCATCGACGAGGCAAGCAAATGTGTGTTCATTAGGGTGGATTCCAGCCTCCAACATATCACTGTACAGCTTGAGTGCTTCTTTAACATTAGCCTCTTTGAACTGCGCATCGATCAAAGCTGTGTACGTCACAACATCAGGAACTATACCTTTGATGCTCATCTCCGAGTACAGACCCATTGCAGCTTTCATGTTTCTCAACTTGCAGTAACCATCGATCAAAGTAGAAAACGTTATGATGTCCGGTTCTACACCATTTGATGTCATCTCTGAACACAAATCCAACGCTTTCTCCATATTTTCCTCTCTACAATACCCATGAATCAACGAATTGTAAGTCACAGAGCTCGGAAAAACTCTCTCACTCTTCATCTTCTGAAACAATCTTTCTGCTTCTGTTAACTGATCTTTACTACATAACCCATTGATAAGTATAGTATAAGTAAACACATCAGGCCAAAGTCTCAACCCTTCCATCTCAGAACACAATCTCATTGCTTCTGACAAGTTCCCTGATCTACACTCCCCATGAATCAAACAGTTATAAACGTACAAATTAGGATCAACCCCAAACTTCACCATATGCACAAAGAGACTCCTCGCAGCTACCAATTCATTAGCTTTACAGAAACCATCAACCAATGCACCGAAAATAACAACGTTTGGAAGCAGCAACTCAGCAACTACAATCTCCTTATACAACGTGTAAGCCTGTCTTAACCTACCTGTTTTACAGTATCCACCAATCATTGCACTGTAAGTAAACAAGTTCGGAACAACTTTATGTTTCTTCATCAAGTCAAACATCTTCTCCGCTTCCTCAATCTTACTCTCCCTCCACAGATCACGGATACATATAGTATAGATATAAACATTAGCCTTGATCCCTTTAGATGCCATTTCCTCAAAAAGCATCTCTTTCTTGGACGACAAGCCTTGTTTGAAACAGCATTGAAACAAAACAGAGTAGATATAAACATCAGGAACCAACCCACGAGAGATCATAGCTTCATACTCACTCCAGACATCATCAAACCTTCTCCTTCTAACCAAACCATTCAAAACCGTGAGACAAGCTTTAGCATCCGGGGCCGTTCTCATCTCACGGCTCACCCAAAGAGCTTCTTCAAACAAACCCATCTCCACAAACTCCATAATCAGTAAGCTAAACACACCGTTACTGAACTTAGAGCTTTTAACATCTTCAAGAGCGTTGAAAACTCTGTGAGGGCGTTTGAGAGTTTCTATGAGGCATTTTATCAAACACCTTGCGTGCGTGTATCTGTAGGATCCGGTTAAGACGTTGATTATTGCTGAGAGAGGTCTGAGATCTTTGTTGTGTTTTGGAGATGTTTGGAAGAGTTTGAGAGCTTCTTCTGTGGATCTGCATTTTAGTATTGATGAGGCTAGAGTTGAAGAAGGTGATAAAGGTTGTGACTTTGAGGAGGGAGGAGGTTGGGATAAGGATCTGAAGGTGAGAGATTGGAGCTTGTGGATGTGAGGTGATGTTCTGTGTTGGAGAAGTAGAAGCTTCAACATCTGGAAGAGGAGTGGAGATGGTGTTCTGGTCAAAGTAAGAACTATCTTTCTCAGGTTTGTGATGGTACAATACTTAAATCGGTTTATTCCGGTTAATGTATGGGTTATTAGATTATTTTTGTGCAACAGGTTTTTAGATACTCACTCTTGAGTTAAAATATTGATTTTAAAATTTACACACAAATAAAAGTTAAATACATATACTTATTAATTTTTGTGAGTTTTAATTGATTCCCAATAAAATTCTATCACTTATATTTTTTAGATTTTAATTTATACTAGATTTTGACCCGCGCAACCGCGCGGGTGTTTGTTTTCGTTTATAGTTATATAAACATTTTGTTTTCACTTGTAAATTGATATATATATATATATATATATATATTATAGTAATCACATATTTACGATATGTATAGTAAATGTTTTTCAAACATAATAATATTATATAATAAATATTTTAATCAAATAGATTGTTTCAAATTTTATATATTATACATGAATTTCAAACATGTGTTTGTTTCTTCTTCTATATTTTATTGTTTGTTAGATTAGTATTTCATTTTTAGATAAAGTAATATAAATAGAGCTTGATTAAATATTAGTGTAATTTAATGTGCAAAGATAATATAAACTTTGAAGAAATTTTTACTAAAATCTAAACTTATAGCTTCATAAATTAATATTATAAAAATTTTATTAAAAAGGAATTTTTTAAACAATTTCTTTTTTTTTAAACAATACAATTTTAAAAATTTACATGGAAATAAATTTATCTAATATATATAACGTGTAAATTTTGTTAAGGTATATAAATATTACATATTAATAATCTGTGATTTTTGTTAATATATTCTAGATGCATTTAACTATTATTGACATATTTCCTTATAAATAATAGAAGATTCCTAAATTTATATCTATTGACATATTTTGCGTGACTAAGTTGGAAGGTGTAGGGTAATTTACCAAAACAAAATTGTTAAGCATATTATAAGATATAATAATGATAATATTATTAGAGAGTTAATGTAACATAACTTTCTAGTAATAGTCCATTTTTTAAAAAATCACACATGAAATCAAGTCATAACTTCTGTTTTAATATATAAGATATTATATCTACAACAAAATGCATTAACTAAAATCAGAACATCAAGTTTTTATATAGCAAAAAAACTAAGACATCAATAATTTGTATACAGAGAATATAAAGTTTTAAACTCTTCATGAATATTTTTAATTAATTAAGATATGTTGGATAAAATCCAACTAATCTTCTAAAGTATATAACACCAACAACTAATCCAGCGCTAAATATTCTAACGAAATCTAAGATGTGATTTCAACTGCAACAACTTTAGCATTTTTGCAGGATTAAAATTCAGGATCCAAGAGATTTACATTTTGTCTAGTTCCACCCCTGAATTATGGGAAAACTCCTTAAGAATCCTACTAAATATCTCTTAAAAACACCATCAATCTCTATTTAACATATGCTAATACAGCTTGAGTTTTTGTTTTCCATTTTCAGTTCTGTTTTATAAAGTCCCTCTTTAATTTGATTGTTTGACCAGTTAGTAATATAGTTTTCCCTTCTTAACAGCCAATGATACAATGAAACACAAGCATACATACATGCATGCTAGCAAAAAAAAAAAAAAAAAATTTCACAGTCTTGTTCCCATTTTAATTCGTTTAAAACATTGCTTATTATTTTGACAGATACTCAATCATGCATTTAAAAATATTCTCCTCTCAGATTCTTTGCACTTTAAAAATTTGAATATTTTTCCCTTTTTTATGGTTCACCAAATCTTTTCTGTTGAATATTTTTCCTAAACCATTAATTTTTTTTTAAAAAAAACTTCATTTAACACAAAACCTTTGTTTGTTTAACAGGACACCGACCAAGAAAGGAAACCAATCTCTCACAAGTGACCTTTACCTACAGACTTGGTCTTAACCAAAACCCACCTCCTTAAGTCTCCTTCGTATATAAATCATCCAAACCCAAATCCAAATCCAAAAAAGTTCGATACTTTCAACACCTTCCTCTCATTTCAACCCGACCCATCAACAATGGTTACTCCAACTCCTTCCGAAGACCGCTCAGAGATCGCCTTCTTCGACTTAGAGACGACAATTCCCTTTCGAGCTGGTCAAAAGCACGAGATTCTCGAGTTCGGAGCCATCCTCGTGTGCCCCAAGAAGCTAGTTGAGCTTCGAAGCTACACACAGCTCGTTCGACCCGCGAATCTCAACAGCATCACGGTTCGGTCCGTGAATTGCAACGGTATTAAAAGAGAGGATGTTGAGTCGAAACCCTCCTTTGCAGATATCGCTGATGACGTCTACGAGATTCTCAATGGTTTAAAATTTTGGTCTTTTCTCTTGTCTCTGTGTTGTTGAGTTGATACTTGATACGAAAGTTTTGTTCTTTTTTGGGTTTAATGAGTTTAGAAAGGAGATGATGATACTGTCTCTGTTTGTCTCTCTGTTTTCTTGTCTTTATGTTTGAATGGTTTGGTTTTACTTTGGCCTTTTTCTTTCTTCTCTGTGTTGTTGAATTTTTTATTTATTTATTTGCTAAAACCTGTGTTTTTGAAATGTTAGTTGATATGAAAGTTTTGTTCTTTATGGGTTTACAAAGGAGATGATACTGACTCTGTTTGTGGCTCTGATTTTTTGCTTTATGTTTTGTTGTGTTGATGTTTGAATCGTTTGAAACTTTAGTCTTACTTACTCCTCTGTGTTGTTGAATTGATACTTGATACGAAAGTTTTGTTCTTTTTGGGTTTAATGAGTCCACAAAGGAGGAGATGATACTGTCTCTGTTTGTCTCTCTGTTTTTTTTTTTTTTTTGCTTTATGTTTAGTTGTGTTGATGTTTGATGGTTTGTACTTTCGTCTTTCTTTCTTTTCTGTGCTGTTGAATTGCTAATTGATATGAAAGTTTTGTTCTTTTTGGGTTTCTGAGTCGACAAAGGAGATGATAATGTCAAAGTTTTGAGGTTTTTATGTTTAGTTGTTTGATGTTTTAGTGGTTTGTATATATATATGTAGGAAGGGTGTGGGCAGGTCACAACATATTGAGGTTTGATATTCCAAGGATAAGAGAAGCTTTTTCAGAGATTGGAAGAGATCCACCAGAGCCAAAGGGTACTATTGACTCTTTGGTTTTGCTTACTCAAAAGTTTGGGAGGAGAGCTGGTGATATGAAGGTAACATTGATACTAGAGATATACATTTTACTTCCTATAGATCTTTTATAAGAAAGTTGGTCACAAAGATTGATTTTTATGTTTCAAATAAAACTTTAAGAAAATTAATTGAATGCATTGAATTAATATTGGTTAAAAAAATTATTGGAAATTGATAATTGCAGAAAATGATGCATTTATAATAGTGATTTAATGTGTGTGTTTTTATGTGTGGAAGCAGTAGAAATGGATCTTTAAGGATTAGAGGTAGTAAGAATCAAAAGTTCTTACTTGATGGAGATTAGCTCTTGAATTAGGATTTGTTGGATACTTATTCTGTTTTTCTCTGTGGACTTTCTTTGAACAGATGGCAACATTGGCTACATACTTTGGTATTGGGAACCAGACGCATAGGTAATATGAATACACAAGTTTTTTTTTTTTTTTGCATTACCGTTGTTGAGTTCTAATGCTTTGTAAGTTTTTTATCTCTTTAGGAGTTTGGATGATGTCAGGATGAATTTCGAGGTTCTCAAGTATTGTGCCACTGTTCTGTTCTTGGTATGACCTCTTTAAATGCATTATAATGTGTCCTAAGTGTAACTATAAGAAGCTAATTCAGAAGCATGATGTGTTTCAACAGGAATCGAGTCTGCCTGATGAACTTATAGAGAACTCGGTTACTACTACGCCAGAAACAAGTTCAAGAAGACGTAGGAATACAAGAACATCTCCGGTTAGTGAGCAGACAGTGGAGAGCACTACACCTATACCTATTCTATCATTCGTTTCACCAGCAGGATCTCAAACGAATCCATTTGATATGAGTCCTTTAAGCAACGAGATAGCTTCCGAGACTCTTCAACCAGATAGTCCCATGGAAGAAGAATGCAACCAGCCACCTGTGGCTATTACCTCTGACCAGGAAGGATTCTTGGAGCTTGGAGAGATATCTATTCCAAGCATCAAAGCTGTTCAGGTCCCTCTTTATCACGGGAGTCAAATAATGAAGCCTCAGCTTTTCCTTGGAGACAAACCTCTTCAGCTCCGTTGTCCTGACCTGACAGTACGGTTTGGAATCAGTGGCAAGTTTATGGATAATGTTGGGAGGAGGAAGCTGAACTTTATAATTAATCTGTATTCAAGTCTCTGCAAAGTAATGCGAGAATGTGACACTGCTGCAAAGACAATATCTGTTGATTCAGGGAGTGATTCTGAGTGGAACCCAGTTGTCATTCCTATGAAGGCGTTTCTCAGCTCTCCAACCGCAAGGATACAGTAAGTTTTGCCTTTTAATCTCTCTTCTGCTTTTAGAAACCATGTTTGCTTATTTGTTCCTGATTGTTTGTGCAGTATACCAACAGAGTTAAATGGAGATAAAGACCGTTATGCGGTTGAGATACACCAGAGAGAGTTCTCTGGAGATACTACTACTCAGAAACTCATCTCAAGCAACCCAAGTGGTGAGGAGCTTGAGTCTTTGGTGAATCCAGGAACTGTCCTTGACGCTTACTTGTCTCTGGAGCCATATGATTATCAGCAAAGAGCTGGAATTCGTCTAGTTGCTAGAAAGCTTGTTATACATTAGTTAACATTACATGGTAGCACCACAGAATTGCTGTTCATGACAGTAGAAATGTATAAGCTAATCCTGTTTTTAGTTTCCAATTACTTGCAACTCAAATGCATGCACATGGTTTCTTTGTCTGAATTTGCAACTTTGTGTCCATCCAAGCAAAAAGATAAGGTATAAATTATGGAACACATGTCTCTCTTTACCATTCCGATTATACATGTTAAAAAGGATGAGGGAACAAAGTAAAAACAAGATTCAAGGAAATGATGCTGGAAGGATAAGAAAGGTTTACACATCTTACTGAATGTGAGTGAACATGATCATATATGTTTATCAACTAAGCCACACCCACAGTGGTTCTCAGTTCTCAACGTTTCTTAAGTTCCTTGAGCATCATCCTGAGGAGATGAGTCTCTATTCTCTTCTTCTTCCTCCTCTTCTTCCTCGTCATCATAGTCAGCAGAGTCTGGCTGGCCGTTTAAGTCAACAGTTACGCCGTTCATTTTCCTAACAAACTGACCTTTAACACGCGGCCTCCTCTCAGCGAGGCGCTTCCTATTGACATACCTAATCTTCTTATCAAAACACCTTTGGTTCCTTTTACGTCTAAATTTGAGCAAAGCTTCTTCTCTTCTGTCAAGTTTATTCACTCTCACCTCGTTAGAAGATACCGGTGACCAAGAATGATGATGAGCCATAGCCATCTGACCATTCTGTATAGGCACCTGACCATTCTGTGACATCTGACTGTGCTGTAACGATGTGTTCATGGGATGGTGGTAATAAGGAACTCCTGTCATTCCATTCAGATGATTAGGTGGGTAATGAGGATGTTGATGACCATACTGAGACATCATGGCTGCTGACTGCATCATAACTTGGTTCATGACCCCATGCATATAGTAAGGATAGGCATTTTGTGCAGCAACTTGAGATGAATCCTTACTTCTGTTCATAGCAACCTGGTCAGTATTCATATTTCCTTCTTGGTAACTCCTACCACGATGTTCCAATGATGTGGTTGGATAGCTGGCGACGCCATTCTGTAAATTCTCTCCTTGAGAATAGTTTTTCTCAGTCTCTCTACCTCTACGTGTTTGTTTGGTGTTGTTAATCACCTCACTGGCCACCACTTGAAGCTTCTCCGCCACCACACCCGGATGAAGATTTTGTGAGCCATTTGCATTGACATGTGGAGGATCTTGACAGTTAGTAGCCAGGACAGTAGACTTGACATATGTGAAGAAAGCAGAGGACTCTCCAATCTTCAATCTACTTTTCTTTGGTGCTGAAGAAACTTTCTCTGAAGAAACGGCAACTATATTAGCATTCACAGAAACAAAGCTAAAAAAAATGGAGACTAGCTATTAGGAAGTGCTAAATCACCTGGATTAGTACTTCTTTTCGTAGGCTCATGAAGATGATTCAATGGAGGTTCTATGATAGCAACAGCAGGAGCTGAAGTGGCTGTGCCATCAGCAACATTACCAGCACATACAGAACCCTTAGGACACTACCAGCAAAAGCATAAGCGCAAACTAAACAAATTAGCTCTTTGCCATTTTCAGAGGACTTCAAACTCTCATAATACTTTCTCACCTCTTTTCTCTGTGGGTTGGTGGACCTAATACTTCTGTCATCTGTGTCATCAGAGAACAGGTTGGTACTGTTTGTGTTTGGATCACTTGGATCAGATCCCACAAGGTCAAAATCATAGCTGAACATATTCTTCTCAGCAAGTCCTAGCTGCAAAAAATAAACACACAATCAAAACGCATAAAGTATATTGACAGAGATTAAGAAGTAAGGAGTAAAACAAACCATGCGTCTTCTTCTCCACATGTGTGTCCACAAGTTGAGAAGCTCGTTGGTACGAAGAGGCTTCACAAGATAGTCAGCTGCACCTAGCTTCAAGCACTTCACAACAACAGGTACCTCGTCTTGCCTCGACATCACTTCAATTTAGCATATTATAAGACTCGTTAGCATAAAGCAAATGATCATGCTGTCAAAACAAACTTTAAGTAGAGAAAGTACAACTACTTATAACTAGATAGAGCTTACTTATGACAGGGATTCTCCTGAGATCTTTGTCACGTGTGATGTACCTAAGCATCTTGATACCTTTGGCCATTGGGAGATCAATTTCGGCAAGTATTATATCGATATCAGGTCCTTCTGCATTTAGTGCATCAATCACCTGCCTTGCTGATTTCACTGAAGTCACTGCAATCCCAAAAAAAAATAATCCATCCACAATATTCATTTGTACAAAAAGTTTTATTTTTGTTTTTCAAAAGCAATAGACATTACATATGCATATAAAAACTACTAAAATCAACAAAAGAGGTCACTTAAAATGTCTTTTTAACACTTCAGATCAAGAACCAAGCGGTTACTATGGCATAAGACAAGGCAAAGACCAAACGAACACAAAATGGAACATAACCGCCACATATTGTAAGAAAAAAGGTTATCAAATACTTTAACAAACTCATTAACAACTAAAGTATTCACCAAATCTAATCCTTGAGAGTTGACAAAAAAACACAAATCAATAGAGCTCCATGATCTGTAATCTACATGATGGCAAATAGCAAAGTAAAAATGAGAATCTTTCCGCAACAAATATAATGTAGTCTAAAGCATACCTTGATAAGAACACTGTGAAAGGAGAGTGAAAACATCTCCCAAGCTCTTGGAATCATTATCACAAAGCAAAATCCTAACTCTGCTTCTGTCAATAAACCCATCTCCTCCCTTACACTCCCCATTCAAATCCATAATCAGATTCACAGATAAACCCACCACCAAAATATCTAATCACAGAAACTAATATTCTCTAACTAAACAAAAAAAAGATACAAAACTACAGTGCTAGGATACTTCCATGGCCAAACCAGAACAAAGCGGTCCCTACAAAGTCGCCTAATAGTAAGTTGTCTCTTCGAAGTCACTTAATGTCATAACAAGACAAAGGTTACTCTTTTATTCCCCAAACCTAATCCTTCAGCCATGAAAAACGTAAAAAAGCTAAATCTAAGCAACAAAGATGTTAAATTAAAAACAAAACAAAAAAGTCCAAATCTTTTTTTTGGGGAAAGTACTAAACTCAAGAATCAATAGCAGCTCTACAAGAATCACCGGCGATCCAGAGCAACGCCGGTGATGAGATGAGGAGAGAGAGAGTGGAGAGTTTCCGACAAGAAGAGTGAGAAAGACTAAATTTTTATGTCAAGTGGTGAAATTATGAGACGCGAAAAGGTGAAATGATAATCTGAGGCGTTGAAAGAGTAAAAATGGACGGTGGAGATTGAAAGTTTTATCCGAGAGTACGCGTCGAGCTATAATGGTGGGGCCTCTCGGGAGATATTTTTAGGCGGAGGAGCTGACGTGGCGGGAAAAAGTGCAGAGAAAAAAGTGGTGTGGATAGTTTGGTAGAGATAGAGGAAAGGCCACGTCACTTTCTGAGAAATATCTTTAAAGATATTTTTTATGGTGGATATAGTAGATAAGATGCATCTCCATATCAAAATCAATTTTTGTATAGAGAAAATTTTTGGGGAAAAAAAATAAATATCTGTGACCAAACTATATACCAAACATTTGGATGGTTTCTCATTTTGGCTTGTTTAAAAAGAAAAAGAAAAAAACAGACAAGAACATATGATTTTTATATAAAATTTATTTAGTTATTCTTTTTCTAATTTCTTGAATATATGATACACAAATGATTTTATCACACATCTGGTTACATGCACTCATAAGGATATTTGGACAGAACAAATTACTATACTCCTATCATGTTAAATGTAGATGATTTAGACATTCAGATAATAAGCATATGCCACTTATATCATACTAGATATAGATGAGTTAAACATTTATACTTGAAGTATGACACTCCTATCATGCTATATGTAGATGATTTAGACATTCATATTTGCTCTTTCTGAGTTTAAAGATATCTGTAAACTACATTATTGTTCTTCTCCAACTCATTTGTTTGACTCTCTATGTACTCAGCTAAAACACTGAATTGGATTTTCACACGTGTCTGCTTCTGCACAAATGTCATACTTTTCAACAAGACTCGAAGACAAATTTGAAAAATTCGTTAAAACATGTCAAGACCATGTCAATAACCGAAGACAAAATTTCCAAGACAAGAAATACCATAGATTTCATTCTCTCATGGAATAATGATTAATGTATATTGTTACAAGATCGTAATCCGTTGGGCTCATTTGATAATTCAATTCAAGATGAAAGATATTGAAAGAGACTTTGGTTATGCTTATGAGAGGTTGGGTAATGTCCTTTAATGGTTTATTCAAGACTTGAATTAATTCATCTTGATTTGGACACTAGTCATCTTGTCCTTTGGAAAACCCGAGTTGAAAGTGTTGTGAAATTGCTTCAGTAAATTCTAACCAAAATATGATTTAAGGAAGGATGGACGTTCCATTGACGAGGAACTTGTTCATTGGATCGGTTTATTGGGGTGACATTGCTTAGATTAGTTACCTGGTGGTTTGTTTTATGAAAACAAAAAAAACATTCATATTTAAGTATGACATTCTATCATACTAGATGTAGATGATTTAGACATTGTTATTCAATAAATTTTGAAAAGAGACGATTCCACAAATGGTGTGAGCTGGGTTTTGAAAACAAAATGGATAACATAGCCTTTTAAACTTTTCAAAAAAAATATCAGAGCATCCGATCTTTGTATCTCGAAATTTTGTCTGTTTAGTTAGGATTTGAGATACTTGAAAACAACCATTTAAAGGTTGCATCCATCTTGATTACCATTATCCAAAAAATGTCAACATCCACAGAAGAATTTAGAAAACATAAACAACTTCCGTTATTTTTTTTAAGAAGTTAAAATGGTTTTGAAGGTCATAAGTAATACAAATGTATATGTTTTCTTGTTCTTATGCAAGCATATCAGTGTTTCACATGTTGTGGAATTTATTAATGGATGTGATATTCGTGAATCATAGTGATAATGTACAAAAATTGTAATGTAATCATAGGTTGAGGAAACAAACAGTTTAGTTGTCATAATGATAAAGTTCATTTATAAATTGGCTTAGACGTTTAGAAAAACAAACAGAAAATTTTTTATAGTGAGTAACCGACGAGCTAATATATTTTTATTCACGATTGGCAACCGAATTTGGTTCACACAAGTTGACCAATGATACATAGAGTATATATATTAGTTTTTTCATAACAAGACACATTTCATCCGGGTCTAAAATTCATTACGTTTTACCAACAACCATCCACCATTTATGATTATAATTATTCGATAGTATATGTGATTCCAATACGTAAAGTCATGAATGCTTACAAGAAGACATGAGAACTTCAACTTTTATGTGAGAATATTATTTATTAATCCATTTTCCGGTTAGGATTTATTCTCGGTTTTGAATGAATCATGTAATGAAAAATTGTCCATACATAATCAGAATTATTGTTGCAAAATGTATTTATTCTCTAGAGTTTTGTGTAATCATATAGTAAAACAATGCTTCCGAAGAGATTATCCAGTCATATAAACCAGTATATACATGACAACGATCACACATCAAATTATACAATCATATAAAACAGTGCTTCACAGGAGAGATTAGTAACAATCACTTATTGTAGTTCTTTGACTAAGTATATGAAAATCAGATATATACAGTACTAGAATTTTGGAACACAACACACATTGTCAAAACTCACAGACAAAATACAAAGAAGCTTATTAAAAAGATATACACAACATAATCTACAAGACAACCCCGTGTATTTTTAAGAAAATTCACAAATAAAAAGTATTGTTTCCTTTAAATCAAAGGAAAGAAATAAAACTGAAACTGCAATTAAGAAAAAAAGTGAAAAAAAAAAACAATCAAACCAAAGGCTTTCTTGGATCCTACGTTTTCCTGAAAGCCAAGCTAAACATAAGAGAAAACAAACAAACAAAGCTTCACACTGTAAGAACCGGCGATGTCACAGCAAAGGAAGCGGCGGAGTTTGCGTCTCCTCGCTGGAAAACTCCATCTGAATATTCATTGTAGACTTGTCTTCAGACAAATCAACTTGTGCTGAAGCTTCTTGAAGCTGCAAAGCATACTCAAGATTCCACAACACATCTCCCATTCCAGGCCTATCAACACCATACTCAGCCAAACATTTCTCTGCAGCCTCCACAAACTTCCTCAATGAACCTTTACTAATCGTTCCCGCGATCTTTGGGTCAATGATCTTCTCCAAATTACCCTTCCTATGCAAGTTCATAGCATACTCTGCTAAGTTAACTTGCTCTCTAGGTAACTGTGGGTTTATCACCGGCCTTGCACATAAAACCTCAAATAAGACCACACCAAATGAGTAAACATCTGATTTGTCAGTGAGTTGCTGTCTTCTGAAGTACTCAGGGTCTAAATACCCGAAACTACCCTTCACAGCTGTACTTACATGCCCTTGTTCCATAGGGGCATCTTTGGAAAGTCCAAAATCTGAGACTTTAGCGACAAGATTCTCGTCCAAGAGAATGTTTGTGGTTTTGACGTCACGGTGGATGATCCCCTGAGCTGCTCCCGTGTGGAGATAGTGGAGTCCACGCGCTGAGCCTATACAGATCTCTAGACGTTGCTTCCACGACAGGGTAGGTATAGGGTTAGGGTCGTTTTCTTTAGAACCGTATAAATGATCACGTAAAGGACCGTTTGACATGTACTCGTAGACAAGAATCATCTCTTGGTTCTCGTCACAGAACCCTATAAGTGAAACTAAATGTCTGTGTCTGAGTTTAGACAGCATCTGAATCTCTGTCTGAAACTCGTTGATCCCTTGCTCCGAACTCTGGTTCCCTCTCTTGATAGCGACTTGCGTCCCACCGTCTATCTCTCCGATATACACTTTCCCGAATCCTCCAACACCAATCACAGACTTCTCATCGAAGTTCTGAGTCGCGGTTTGCAGTTCCGTGAAGGGGAAGTAACGACCTAACCCTTGGTTTGAGAAGAAGCTAGAGAAGCCATTGCTTTTGCTTTTCTTTGACCCGAAGATACTCATCTTCCTCGATGTAGTTGACCCGGCCTTGCTTGACATGTAACTCGAGTGTCCTGCGTGCAAAGGAAGTAACCACGAGGAGAAGCTGTTTTGTCTTTGCCAGTCTTTAGGACGTTTATGCCATCTAACAAGCAACACCACAACCCCGAAGAAAGCGGTTAGACCCATGATGAATCCGATACCCGCAATGGCTAGCTTCTTAGATGACATCCCAATACTCGGTCCTCTGTACTTCCCGTCGACCCCGAAAAGCCCGTCTAAACTCCCGGCTGCGTTGTTCAGCTTCATGATCTCTAAGCCGTTGAGAATCGCATTCGGTTTACCTGCATGGCCGCATCTGAGATTTTAGAGATATAAACATTTACTAAGAACTTTAATATAAAAAATAATTATTATTTTACCAATGTTCCTGTTATTTTCGGTTTTATTAAGAGTTTCCAACTTAAAATCAATTATCGATAAGTAGATTAACCCTAACATTTTATATTTTATTTAAGGTTCCATTAATTTTCGATGTGTGATACTTTATCGTAATAGTTTCAATGAACTGTGCCTATATCGGGCTATGTTTACCTGATTGTAGGTTAGGTGTCGGACCGACCTGAACCAAGATGGTCCCGTTGGTGATAGCGGACGCGTTGAGCACAAAATCTGCGTAATAAGCTGTTCCTAGAGCGTTGTATTTGGAGGACAGATCGAGT